ACCAGGTAGTTCTTAAAACAGTGCAATCCTAGTATGTGGAAAGTGTTTCAATAAAACTATCTAGGTCTTAGGAGCGTCATTTTTAGTTGAAGTAGTTCCAAAGCTTTTCTAAGAAACTGGACATAAATATTTATAGAGGCATTATTCATAACAGTCCAAAAGTAGACGCAACCCAGAGGCCCATCAACCAATGACTAAATAAAAACTTCACTCACAGATTGAAATATTATTTAGCAGTAAAAAGAAACTAAGTACTTACATGCTATATAACATGGACGAACCCTGAAATCATTATGCTAAATGGACGAAGCCATACATAATATATGACTGTATTTCTTTAAAAAAAAAATCCAGAATAGGAAGATCTATAGAGATAAGATACAGGTTCATGGTTGCCAGGGACTGAGGGTAGAGGGGAAAACTGAGAGTGGTCATTAACAGGTACAGGGTTTCACTTTGTGTAATGGAAATGCTCCTCAATTAGAAGGTGGTGATGGTTGTACAATTTTGTGCAGATATTTCAAAAATAGTTATTATATACTTTACAATGATGAATTTCACTTCATATGAAATTTGTATTAACTGTATCTCAATTTTTTCTCAAACTCCCCATGGACTTACTTTTGTGTTATTTGCACTTGGCATAGCAAAAACTTGAGGCCCCGCTTTAATGTTTGTTTGTTTGTTTGTTTGTTTGTTTGTTTTAAAAAGCAGCTATTTTCAAAGTGTTCCTTGTCTGTGCGTTATTCTTTACCCAGCTTTCTGAGTCGCCACACACATATGTGTAGTTTAGTCAAAACCTAAGGTAAAAATATACGCTAACTCTGGGTAATGTTTAGAAGGTTTGCATTTCTATATTTAATATAATTACAGTCTAGGTAAACACTGTATTATATAAACAATGTAGATCAATATAAGAGGTTTTCAATACCACAACAACTGAGTCTACTAAGACATCCAAAATTTAATACCTTCCTGAGAAGGTTAGAGCAACTCTCCGCTCAAGTGATAAGGACTGCTCCACCTCTTTCCCAAACCTCTTTCTAGGAACTCTCGACATTCTCATCACCAGGTAAACCCTTAAAATTGGCTACTTAAGACAATTTATACGATCCACAGCATCTCAGGCAGTATTTTGTACACAATAAGGTCACAAAAGACACTTGCTAAATAAGACCATTCTTGTTTCAGAAAGTAGAGTCACGGCATGTGCTGAAAGCTCCTGGCCCCAGCGCCACTAGCCTGAAGCCAGGATACTTCATGCTCATGGGAAGCTGGGGGAGAGCGTTAAGAAGCCTGCGTTTATCTGTTGACTGTAGGGAGACACACAGCATGGAGTGGCCTAGCTACTGTCAGCACTAATTACCACTACTATGATGTTTCTTTGAAAGAGAAATAAAGAAAGGAACAAACATAATCTGCTTAATTAACCTGATGTGCTTTCTTCTAGATTTTACAGAAAAACTGCCAAGTCATAGCAGAAATGAAACAATGTTCCTGAGTCATAATGTAGATCCTATATCAAAAAATTGCACAACAGTCAGATGCTGAAATAGACACCATTTTTTTGTGAAGTATTTTCTTTAACACTTAACTTACATCACTGAACCTGAGCAAGCAGGCAGAAATGAAATGTTTCTCATGCTGAACTGTTCAAAGCGACGGAAACATATTTCTTCCTTGATGATAAGCCACAAATAATTATGGCAAGGATAAACAATGTCTTCAAAATTTTCAGTAATCTGTGTGAGATACTGAGGTTGTCTATAAAATAAAAGCACTGATTTTTATATTTTATGGAGAAAATCAACTCAGGAATAGACACTGAACTGTACCTTTTCTTTGGTGCATTTTTCAAATGATAATTCTTTCCACTGTCACCATTAAATCTTAATCCATTCCAGCTCCTTGCATGGGTCATTGAGTCTATATGTACTGCTGTTATTTTAAAATGTTTCCCCTTGGTAGGGAAAGAGGGGGAGAAGAGATGTTGAGAGCCAGATGGGCCTCTTCACAGTTCATTTATCAAACCTAATACGCTGGGCTCCACCCTCCTCTTACTCACTATTGCGGTTAAACTTCCATATAATTTGGTAATCATTTTCATTATCAGAGAGTGACCCCAAAGCAGCCGATCCTGGGATACCCGGTCCTTGCAGCTGCTCTTTTTCTGCCTTCTCCTACAGTAGACCCTAAGAACCTCTGAGTTTATTAGCTGCAGGCTGACCTTTGGGCTGTGGAGGTCAAGAAGGGGTCAGATCAGAGGGCTTGCCCAGTTCTTTAAAAGCTATAACAAGCTGTCCATCAGGCAGAGTGGACTGTATAAACAAAGCCAAATCTTCAGAAATTCTGTACCACTTCTGTTAACACTTACCCTGCATTCACACAGCAGCTCCTGATGTACTTTGGATCATTCAACTCTGGGGAAGTGAATAGACAGCCCTAATAAGCCTATTTGGAGAGGGCTGTTTATGGGATTACTCAGTGTGGGGAAGGAAACCCACAGCACTCAGATGTGCCTCTAGAACCGCAAGGTTGTGAGACACTGTGACAAACTCGGTTACCCTGAGTCATACAGAATTGACACTTTCCTCAAGATGCTAAGTTACAGGGAACATATGCTTTCGGTTTAAAGAGACTGCAGAGTCCCAGACAATAGCTCAGCTCCTAGGCAGAGAGAGACCAGTGTTTTAGGAGCAAGCCATACGTCTCACTGAAAATATTCTCCCTGATACCACGACTGTAAATGAACCTGCTGCTGAAGAGAGGGTTTATTACAATAGACGCATGGTAAAGTTATTGCCAGCTGCAGAGTCTTGGCTGACCTAAATTTCTTGAAGTTGTACAGTTCATAATGCATTCTCTAACGTGTAATATAAGATAATTAGAGTCATCTGTATGTAACTTTCAGAAGAAAAAATTTCTATTATCTAATCTAACTGATCCCCTGATAGCTTTGATGAAAGTAAAATGCTGTAACCTATTGCTTGGCCTTTGGGGAGTGCTAATTATTTTCTGTCAAAGCACATTTTTCCTCATGTAATTCCAAAGTACACAATAGGCCAATCTCTACAACACAGGCAGCTCAGTGAGCGCTGCTGCGGATGTTTTATAACATTCACCACCACAGGCTGGATGATCCCAGACAACCAGATGACACTTTGATGAGGAAAAGAGAGGTATATGATGACTATCTGTTTAGACGGATCCTATGATAGGGCACCAGGATGCGAAACATCAAATGAGGGAAAGGATTACGGTTACTTAATACTGTGAGGACACTTCGCCTTCTGCACTCTCCAGCCATCTCCCTCTTGAAATTTTCTTTCAGGTGTTTGGCTTTAAGGGAGTCTGCAGAGTGTCAGCAGCTAAGTGTTTTCTTTCTTCCTTCCCTGCCACAAAGAACTTGAGAATTTTTGTTTCAGATGCTAGACTACATCAACTTCAGCACTGGCTCCAGCTCCTGATTAAATTGTTAGCAGTACGGGCCAGAAACACTGAAACCAGACTCCTTTTAAATAGGCCATTTTGGCCATGCTGTCTGATGATTTGGTGTATTAGGAAATTATTGTTAACAAACCCAATATATTCAACAAAAGACATCCATTCTCTAAGTATTCTCTCTCTCTCTGGGCCCTGCTGTCTTTGGAGGGAAGGATTACGAAAGAGAGATTACAAGATTACTCTTTCTTCATCTCTTTGCTATTTAATAAGAATCACCATGAGAAGATAGAAACACACAGAAAGATAGAAACATCTTCAATATCCCCACACTGATAGTCCATTATTTAACAAAATATGTGAATTTAAATGAATATAACACTTAAATTATAATAAAAAGAAAATTTAAAATTAACTACTAAAAGTTAAATTGGAAATTATTCCGTCCTTACTGGTTGAAACTATGTGTCATTTACTAGAATCACATTTAAAAAAAAAAAAAAAGCAGGAAAATAAAATTGTGAATTAAATGATTCTTATGTGCAAGTCTGAATTTTGAGATAATACACATATTTGAAAAAGCAGCTTTCTGATGTCCAATCAGAACCAACAGTTTCTACTGTTTCCTATCTTAAGAAATGTTCATCTGTTCAGTCTTCTCCAAACAAATCTATTTTTATGATAATTATTACTAGCAAAGCTATCAGTGACTGTGAATTCTGTTGTATGAAGTCACTTGGATAATATTAGAGCTATCAATAAATGTTCTTGACTCCCAGGCACATAGAATATTTCCACATCAAATAAGACTCTATGACAAAATAAACTATAATTTACCTCATTCCTCTCCCTCTTTGCTCAGAGACAAATGATACCGAAGTATTATTGAATTAATTTTTACAAGCCACAGTTACCTGAAGGATGACTCTAACATTTAGAGAAATGAGTTCCAACTTTCCACATACCAACTGTTTTGCAAACAGGAGCAGTATAACATATTTATTCTGTACATACTAATTCTATAAAAGGTGATCATTTACAGAAATTTTCTGCCAGTGACAGCTTTCTAAACACAGATAAGTCTATGTGGAAAGAAACTAGATTAAGCTAAAATAATTCCTCTTTGGTCAGTTCTGATACTGGGGTTGATAAATAGATTTTCGATTAATCTTCGCTGAATCAAGAGACAGGAGACCACTGTGTGGATTTCCCAGACAACTGCCCTAACTAAGTGGCAGCAAGTGTCCTAGACTACTGAATTAAAGGGGCCTAAATTACATCAGGTACTTCTATTACATTATGCTCAAGGTGGAGACATGTATGCGAACTGTTCCACTAAGGAAAAAAAATCATATACACCTGCAGACGGCGTCACAGAGCATTATAATTAATGTAGGTCACCACGGATAAGAAAGCTAACTAGCTGAAAACATCTTAAACTTGCTGATATTTCATGGCCTCTCACATGAGAGGAACAAGAGCAGTAATAAGGAAGGGCTCAGCCCAAGATAGCTCTTGTTTGTCATTGACAGCAGATCCCATTTCATTAGAGAACTAACCTGGCTTGCCATTCCCTCCGCAGGTTCTGGCGGGTGGTGAGCAAGGCAAGGATGGCAGTCAGCATCTCATTCCTTTGTTCCACGGGGAGTCCCTCTCTTTTAACTTCTTGAAGCACAGCATTTGTCTAGAAGAAATGATCCCAAAAAGAGAAAGAAACAGTGAAAAATTAATAATAAAAAAAGCCCATAAGCAAATAAGGACAGTAAATCAATGGCTTTTTTATTACAGTTCCCCTGCTAACAAATCAATACGGTAAATGATGGTCAAAAATGGCCAGCATATATTTTGTATTTAATCAATGTACATGGCACATAAGGTAAACTCTAAAGCTCCATTGCCTTAAGTAACACATCAAGACACTGTGCATTCTCACTCTAATTTTCTCAGCACACCAACGATTTTTTTCCCTGGGAATTGCCTACCATGGGCTATTATTAGAAATGATTTTCACGTACACTTCACTGTGAGTTGTTTGTTTTGCCTTTTTAAAAAAGAGCAGACTGACTTTCGTTCTGCTTCCTGCCACCCAGCTGAGGCTTTCCCTGCTGCCTCTCTTATTTGAATCATTACTTTCAATTTCTACCCACATCAGTGATGGGGGGTGAGGGGGGCTCATTTTCCTTGCTTGTTGTAAATCAAGACCTTGGGGGGGGGGAAGCAACAAGAGCGCAAAAATCAGAAAGAACATTATACCTTAACAAATACCTTTAGATTTTATAAATGTTATTTTAATTCAAAGTTACTGTGGTTTCTTGGGCAATTTTTATAGCCTATATAGTGGCTGAAAGCAATGAAATTGTCGCTTTCTCTTATTTAACATATTCCTTCTCTAATGGATGCCAGTACATTTGCATACTTTAAAAGCACAGTCATCACTAGTTTTCACATAACTTGAAATATGACTTCTTTACTCTTCTGTAGCATCTTACAGTGTCTACACAATATCTTCATGACCAGCTTGAGAAATATATTTGTTGTTTCTGTTGCTTATTTCCACACTCAGTTCCCCTTTGTCTGAAAATAGCATCTAGATCTCCTCTCAGGAAAATCTCTCTCATTGCTAGCAGTCTTAGAGCTACTATCAATCAAAGTGTGCTGCCCTCTCTGAACAAGGGTGTGGGCCAGGGCACTTGGGTTCTCCTTTCCAAAACTCTGACTCTTATGAGGAATGACAAAGGAAAAGGAAAAATTTTGGAGGTAATTTATAAACCCCTTAGTTTATCACACCCATGATGTTAGGAGTAGCCACGGTTTCACAACCTTTCTGAGTCCAGATCATTCTCTGTTTACTCTGAGAGTTTGAGGTATCCAGCATCCTTTAAATAAAGTTCTATTTTGTTCAAATTCACAGACTCTGTTTCTGTTGATTAGAATAAAAAGCTCCTTTAATGAACAGAACAGATAAAGCAGGAAATGGTATCTCCACTGTGAAGGATCCAAAATAATATGACAACACCAGTCAAGAAAATGACTCTGCCTTTTAAAAGATCCAGTATTATATCTACTTTACCAAGAGATGTACCCTGTCAGACATTCAATTCTAAGACAAGAATATCTTCAGTCCTCCAGGACAGAGAGGAATGCTCAACTTCTTCAATACATGAAACCCAGCAGCCAGGGATTCCAAAGTCTGATACTCACTACGGCCAGGGAGATAACATGAATGAGTTAAGCAGAGGCTTCCCAAAGAGGGGACATGCTTTGTCTAAAGCAGCTCTAGCTATTCAGCTCTAGCCAACTCCTCCTCAGCTCAGAAAAACTGGCTCAGCAATGCCAGATTCATGAATTTTCTATATAAAAAAGGAATCTACTTTTTTTTTAATCCAAAAACTCCTGATTTTATAAATGTTGGAAACACATTTGAAAATGTTTAAAAACAGGAAGCCAGCCAAACAAGAAATAGCAATGGGGTGAACAGAACTCAGACAGCAGCCAATGTGTGGCCTCTAATCCTAATTTCAGAGTCACGTGGGCACCAATGAGCTCTCTAGCGGCCGCACTGCTCCTGGTGTGTGATAACCTACTTCAGGTAAGGCTGAAAGGAGCCTCAGAAAGCTGGGTAGGGCATCGTGACGCCCATGACTGCACAGTATGTCACCAAAATACAAAAATGTGTAAAACTGAACACAAAGTACACATCTAGATGGCTCCAAAATCATGATGAAAATAAATTATTTTTCCCTTTGAATCTATGAAAATATTTTTCAAAAAGCCATCACATCTTCCTTGCCTTTCATATCATTTAAATTGCATCTAAGGATCCTGGTGTCCACAGACTCTGAGCAGCCTCTACAAGACTGGAGAGGAAGGACTTAAAAGAATAATGTCTCACAAGGATGTTGTCGGTTGAAGTCACCACTATACTTACTGTCTGCCTAATAATTTTAATAGTATTTGTCAAATCAGTGAATAAAGAACTTGAAAAACAAATACTGCAAAATGAAAGAGCAATGGAAGATTCTTAAGAAGTTATGTTATATAAACGTTAAGTTTAGGGGCTAGGGATTTAGCTCAGTGGTGTAGTGCCTGCCTGGCAAGCATGAGGTCCTGAGTTTGATTCCCAGTACACACTCTAAGAAGGTAAACTCACACACAGGGTCAGTGAATGAACACACTGTGATCCATCAGCACAGTGGACTACTAATGAGCAAGAAAACATGATGAGCAGCTAATGCATGCAACCATTTAGAGGAACGTCAAAGGCATATATGGGGTGAAAGAAGCCAGTATCAAATGGTTAAATACTTCACGAGTCCATTTGGTTCCTAGGGATCTAGTAGAGTAAAGGACGGCATGAGAGTGTTTTATAGAGCTATTCTATATCCTGATTGTGCTGGTTGTTATATAATATATATTAAAACTCACTGACTTACTGTCCCCAAAGTCAGTTTCATTACAAATAAATTCCATCTCCATCACATTTTTAAGACAAGAATGAATACGAAAAACAAGTTCACACACAAACACATCCAATAAATATGTAGCAAAATATGGACAAATACAACTGATAATAAATTCTATGACAGAAACAAATCTTAGATTCAGCACCCAGGTTCTAAAGTATAGTATTGAATAAAATTTAGGGTAAAAAAGTCATTGCACAAAAAGAAATTTTCAGAGTGTCAAAAGATCATACTTTTTCTAAATAATTAACAATTATATTTCTCTCCTTATAACAGTTCTGAGGGCTGGGTATATAGCTCAGTAGCATAAGCGCCTGCCTGGCAAGCTCAAGGTTATGAGTTCGATCCCTGAAGGAAAAAAAAAAAAAAAAAAAGCTAGCTTTTAACAGTGTTGAACACTCAACAGTGCTGAATTTATTTCACCCACAGGAATGTTAACAAGCTACCTTCCCACTAGTAGCAGCACAGAACTGTCTTCATATAAGTACCAATTTTTAAATTGGTCTTCTGTCTTCTATTACCAAAATACATTCTCTCTCTTCTAACCCTCAAAATATAGGGAAAGAAAGACACAGGTTTAGGAAACATGCTGTAGAGATCAAATTTCATTTCATTATTAATGTTTTTTTCTGCACAAGAAATCCAAGGAATTACTGGCCATATGCTTAGGACTAAGCATATCTTAGGAATGGTGCTCAAATCCCAGCTGTTATCTCCTAACTGTGGGTCCTTCCTGTAACTGTAAGTGGCCATGAGACGAGAATGCTTCCACAGATTCTTGTGAGGAGGAGCAGCCTGATACTATACCACTCTGATTCTTACTATTTAGTTTCATCCTAAACTCGCTACATTGGGCAAGGTTGTGCTATTTTAACAAAAAGATTCTTGAAAGTGACTATTTTTAAAAATTTTTTGTTGTTGTCTATTACTTTAAACGAAAATTTTCAAAAAGACATCAGGCATTAAACAATCATCACCCTCACACTTCCATCCATGCCACGTGGAAACCAGAGGCATATGCTCCTGCATAACCTCAGTGGTACAGTCTATCCTTGGAGGGTGGGTTCTGTGTTTGGGATCAGTCCCTGATTTTACTTGCCCTTCCTCTGTCAGGGGATGCCCCTCTCTCCTAGCACTGCCCAATAGGTAACCTAGCCCTTCTAGTCTCCCAGGGGTGGTCCTTGTTCTGGGATCCTCAGCTGCCTCTGTTTGCCTCTCATCTCTTGCAGCTTGCTCTCTCTGTGAGTGACTACCCCCTCCGCACGGAGCACAGCCCCATGAGTGTCTCTCCTTAAGCCTCTCACCTCAAACACGACAGCTCATCTGCAGCTTGGACATATTTGAACCTATTATCTTTGCTTTTCAATCTCATATCTCTTCATCAAACCAATTCTTCTCCCGTATTTCCCTAAAGTGAGTAGCTCTGTAACCAAGGCAAGAACACAAGCTAGAATACCAAGACTCACTCTAGTCTCCTCCACGTCAGTGTACTTCCTGCAGCAAACTCCTAAACCTTGCTCTTCCCCACTCTTCAGTAAGACTTCAACTTGTCCCATCCGCACTGCTCCAGCTTAGCTCAGGCCTATCCCTGGTTTTTCTGTGTCTATCTCATCCCTTTTGTGAATTTCAGTGACTTTTTAAAAGCACAGATATGACCATGTTACTACCTTTTAAGTAACTCAGCATTATCCAACTGTGGTGTTTAAGCCATCTTAAAGATGCACTGGTGCTTCCAAGAAGGATGTCCCAGTCATCAAGGAATTTTTGGTCTCCGAAACCCCACCTGCACCAGAGTCTTTCTATCTATAAATGCTTTCATTACAGACACTGAGAAATAAGAGAAATGGTATTTTTTAAATAAAAGCTCAAAATTCTTGGCATGGGCAAAAGCAAAGACAAAGTCTGCTTTCTTCTCAGATTGTATCTCTTGCCATCATCTACGGTATTCCACACACAAGTAACAGTGCCCATCTGCACACACACGGTTGCTCCATACTGTACCTTATTTACCTTATTTATACCCTTGCTATATAATTTGCCAGTGACTTGGTGACTATTCATTCTTCAAGAAACATCTCAAAAAGTGCCTCTTCTGTAAAGCCTGCTATACACCACACCCACGGATGATCACCCCTTCCCCTGCACCATCGCGGAGCATCCCAGAAACCTCACCAAACTCTACTGCACTTATTTAATCTAAAGGTTTCTGCCCCACACCACA